GAGAAGAGTTAGGAAGGTCTTTGGGAGCATTAGTTGAATTCACCCTAGGAGTTTCTGAAGAGGTTTTGGAAGGTGGTTGTCACCGTCGTCAAAATAGGCGGTCGGAGTGATGCGATGATTTTGATATGACTCGCATTTTTTAAAGAAGGTGTTCAACGCCTTTAGGTTGTCCGATAACCGGGTTAGACATAAAGGCAAGGTTTTCGAAAAGGTTCGATGGAGTCGTCACCGATATTTTTATCGTAAACATCGAAAAAGGAAAAAACGTTGGTTTTAGAAAACCAACTTTGACCATTATAACTAGAGTTGAGTAAGGGAGTTAGTTACGTGTGAAGAAGGTGTTATCACCCCACAACGCCCCTTTCGGGTTCCCTATGATGGATTAGTTTATAAAATAAAGACTAAGAAATTATACCTTTACCCTATTTATTTATCTACTTGCAGAATTTAAATGTTTACATGACCTTAATGTCTAATGCATACAAGAAGAATAGTAATGAAAGCAGTAAAAGGGAGAGAAGATAATAAACCTGCGAAACAAGCTTTGTATTAAAATTCTTGAAGATTAAGGATGTTTTTTGGCTATCCCCTCACTCTACAACGCTGCTCACTCCTCTACCGAACGCAAGATTCTAGATACAGAGCGTCTAAAGAGAGCGCTCAAACTTCAGAAATGCTTCAGAGTTGGCCTAGAGGAAGCTTAAGAATGTAGGAGAGTGTATTCCAAGGCAGAAATCTCGAGTTGTGTGTCAAATGAAGGGGGGGGGAAGGTCTATTTATAGGAAATCGTGCCAGTCAGGGTGAGACGGTCGTCTCGACCCTTGTCAGGCGAGACTGTCGTCTCGCCAAATGAGATGGTCGTCTCGCCAAATGAGATGGTTGTCTCGTATCACAAGTGGCGAGACGACCATCTCGCCAAGTGACGAGATGATCGTCTCGTCTCATGAATGGCGAGATGGTCGTCTCGCCTTATAGGGCGAGACGACCGTCTGGCCAAACGGGATGGTTGTCTCGGCTCTTGGCGATAATTCTCTTATTTTCGCATACAGAAGGCCTTCCTATCCTACCATGGAACCTAGTAAACATGCCTACGGACCTAAAGAGGCCTTATCCATCTTCGAATGGAGGTTTTCTAGCTTTATTTGTGAAGCCGGACAAGGTTTGGGGTCTACAATGATTTTTCAAACTTTCTTTCTTTCTTTCCGTTTCCAACTATTAGAGTAGTAGTTATTATAAGTTGCACTTCTCTTGACCTCATTTTTCTTTTTCAATTGGTTTTCAACTTTTAAGGTCAAATGTAAAACTTTATGAAATTGGAAGTGCTCATATAACTCTACCACATCTTGAATTTCTTTTCTCAAGCCTCTCACAAATCTAACTATCTTTTCTTCCTCACTTTCATTTTGGAGTCCCACTTTAAGGAGCAAGGACTCCATCATCTTTGCATTAAAATTGTTCGCGCATTAAAATTTTCAAGTCCATCCAAGAAGCCACATGTGACTCTTGGTTTATAATGTCCATACATTTGTTATGCCACCAAGTCATAGCATAATCCTCAAATTCTAAGACTACAAATTTTACTTGCTCTTGTTCCCTAATTACATGAATGATAAAAATTTGGTCCACTTTTTGCTCCCACTTCAAGTAGATGTTGAGATCTTCTTCTCCTTTGAACTTTGGAATCTTGATTGGTGGTGGTTGTCTCCTTAGAGGGGAATGACGCCTCCTCCTTCCTTCATAGTCCTCATAAGTGTCTCTTGAAGATGACCTCCTCCTCCTCCTATCTTCCTTCCTTAGTTCAAGTCTTTGGATGTGTTCTCTAAGCATCATCTCATTTTGTCTTTTATCTTCCCTTAGTTGTGCAATGGTCTCCCTTATACTTTTTTCTAGTTATTGCACAAGTTGAATCAAACTACGGTCTCCTTATTGTGCAAGAGGAGTGATGATGAGAGGTGAATAAGCTTCATGTGACTCTTCTTCCTCTATTTCTTCCAAGATAGGAGACAAATTTTCACCATCTAGGTCCATATTACTCAAATCGAAAACAAACACACGAGTTAACACAAATATGAGTTAAAAATCAAGGCAATCCCCACCCCCACAATGCAATTTCCCAAGTGTTTGGATGCACACTCCCAACAACATAAGGCTAGGCTATCACTCTCACTTCTAAAAGGGTGGAAATCACTCCAAAATTTTTAAAACCTTTTATCACCAAGCAACTTAGGTCACGGTTTTCACCAACTAGAAGGCTAGAGAAAAGAAAACTAGCAAGTACAAAACAAGGACCCTAAGACAAACAAGAAAAACACAAAAACAAGAAAGCAAAATTCTAAGAAGGAAATTTTTTGAGACAAAACTTTAGCAAGACTAACACAAGAAAAACACTTTAAAAGACTATGGGAAAATATTTGATCATGTCTTTGAACAACTTAAATCATTCACATGTCAAGGAAGACAAGAACCACATAGTTTTTATGGAACTAATTTGTAAATATCACCACATTAAAGTTTTCAATTTGAGAGCATAACACCTCAGAAAAAATGCAGTTTCACTTCCCCAAGCTCCAAGTTTGGTCTCGGTGTTTAGCTAGAAATTTGGGGAAATTTTTTTTTCTCTTTTGCAAACAAGTTTCCCAAGGTGATAAAAAAAGGTTTCAAGGTGTCTTATTAGTTCCTTGAGTTTTGGTTACAAATCAATTCCAAAGCACATACATTCCATAAATCATGTAAACATGCAAGATTTAAATATTTTAGAACAACAAGAACAAGAAAACAACCAGTTAACATATGACATATGACTCAAAATTAAAGATAAACACATTTAAAGACTCTTTCAACATGAGAGACAAAATTTTAACATGGTAACACTACAAGTAGCTCTCAGTTTTCCAAGCAAAATACCAACAAAAATCTTGTTCACAACTTCACAAGATCACCAATATATGGAGATGAAGTTCTAGATACTTAAACCTTGAAGTGAAGTGGAAAAATGTTCAACACCAAGTTTGAACAAACCAAGGCCGAGAGTCCACCAAGAGTAACAACACAAGACAACAAAAGTTAGCACAAGAAAAACACCATATTCAAGATAACCATGACTCTAGATACCAAATGATGTAGGTTCACTTTAGTTCTTTGAACTAGGATGTTGGATTACTTAAGAAAACCTAGGAAAAATTACCAATGGACATTAAGATAGCAAGTTATCTAGATGTGAAGGTACATTTCCAACGGTTTAAGAGAGAAGTGAATGAAATTAATATTGATTAATAAAACAACACGTGAACAAGGAGTAAAAATAGAAGAAAATAACAACAAAATGTAAGATATAGAAGATGGTGATGGTGAGGAAACACGTCACTCTTTGGACAAGGGTCATAGTAGGCACACCAAGTCAAGAGATAAGTGGTGAAATTGCCACTTGCTTAGGAGCAAGATAAGGTCGTGAAGTCTCCACCCTAGGGAGAAGATGCTCACGAAAATATGGTTGGACAAAGGAGTATTTTGATTTCAAATGTTTCACCCTTACAAAGGAGAAGAATCACCCCTTAAATAGATAGTCTTGGAGGCTTCTTAGCAAATAACAAAAGTTATAAAAGGGTACATTCGCAAACCCTAAAAAGTATTTTCTACAAACCTAGCATGAAAGTAAGGAAAACACAAATGGAATGTTGGACTTCTATTCTTGACTAAGACTAAGGAGGATACTACATTTGTCTCATTCACCACCATAAAACACCTTTCTCTTTATGTTTTCCACCTCATGCACATGTGATCCAATCTAGCTTGCCATGTGGAGATTCCTAATCATTTTCTTAATCCATGCTTAACCCACAAGACACACAAATGAAACTAGATTAACAATGTTGACTTGGGTCAAGCCAACTCTAGTAAAAAAGTCAACCCAAGTCAAGGTTAATAAGTCAACTAAAATTAACTTTACTCAATTCAATTTAGGAAGTTTAAATTAAGCTAATGTAAAATAAAGATAGGGTAGAACTAGAAGACTCCCCTCTTATTATGCCTTCATAAAAAAGTAACATGAATAAATATATCATCAATCACTTGGAATATAAAATAATTAGAAAAAAATTATCGCTGCACCTAACTTAAATAATTAGGAAAAAAAAATTACAACCAATCTAACTTGGAAACAATTAAAAAGAAAAAATTACACTTTCATTACATCTAACTTTAAATTATATATTTTATTTTAAGGTATGATTATATAATAGAAAGATAACTCATTGCATTTAACCAACTTTCTATTCATCAAATTAAATTTTAAAATAAAAAATATTATAATTCTTACATATTATTATATTTTCATAAATAATAATAATAATAATAAATAAATAACAATAACAACGAAATCGACGTTAAAAGGAAATAATAAAAGATAATCGGTGGTAATTATAAAAATAAAAATTATAGTAAAAAATATAATATCATCATTAATATAAAAAATAAATTTTTTAAATAAAATAACCTAATTTAGTTTAAAAAAAAAACCAAATGATCTCTTAATGCGTCATGTTTCACCTAATTTTTTTAATTTTTAATAAATTTATCCAATTTTTGATAAATTCATTATTCATCTAACTTTAAAAAAACTTCAAATGGATATCCGATCGATTTGCGGTTCAACCGAATGAATCGGCAGGTCCCGCTTTGGTATGAATGGTTTTATTCATTGACATAATATAGTTTCATGAGTTTTTAGTAAAAATTACCCCTAAAAATTCCAATAAAATTGCCACTTCATTTCACAATCGCTGAAATTAAATATCTGAAAGTTTACCATAGAACCCCTAATCTTGTGACGTGTCACTCAGTCGGTGGCTGGAAACGGGGAAGAAAATCTGGCTCAGGCCATCGTGGGCCTTGTCCTTGCCTCGCAGAAAATTGGGATAATTAGGAAAATATTCTCTCATCTCTAGTCCGTTATGAGAAGCTGAACCATCCTTTGCACAATCTCTTTCAAAAGCTTCTCATCCATGGCGAAAACGCTCATTTCGTCGCCTTCGTTCCTCGGCACGCCGCTTCCCTCGCTCCCTCGCCACCACCGCAACACCACCAGGCTTGTCGCCACCAAGGTTCACGTCAGCCTCCACCAAATTCCCCCTATTCACTCTATAAGCCATTCCATTGACTTCGCCGGAATCGCTACCAGAGCCGAAGGCCTTCTTTACACGCTCGCCGACGCCGCGGTTGCAGCGGACCCGGCCGCTTCCACCACCGATGCCGCCGTGCAGAAGAGCGGAGGCTGGTTCGGCTTCATCTCCGAAGCCATGGAGGCCGTTCTCAAGGTTAAACTTCGTACTCGTGCTTGTTAGTTGTTAACTTCCTGTGTAACGGGCGAAGTTGTGCGACGCGTCACGTGCGGAGCACAAGCCTCTAAATTTATCGAACTTGTTTTCTCGAGGTCGTGTGACTTGCTTAAATATTGTTAAGATACTCTTGGTCGTCGAATTCTTATTAAGGAGAGAGATAGTCGATGTTGAACTAAGAGTGATGTTTAGATAGAATTCTATGTTAGAAGAAATTAAGAAGGTAATATACTAAATATGATTTAAGCTTCTTCTGTGTAAGTTAGAATTTAAATTAGTTCATGAATAACTTAAAATTAGTCCATGCATAAGCCAACTAATGCGAGAAGTGTTGTTCAGCACCATGTTCTTCTCATATAAGTGTTCGTTGAGAAGTGTATTTAACCAAGGCTAAAGTTTACTTGACTCTTGTTTGGATAAATTTCTCTACAAGCTAAATCAATTATACACCTCAGTTTTTAGAGAAATGAGATGAGAAAACTTCAATAAAAGTAAAGTGAAAAAGTTTATTTACTTTTTAATAAAACCTCTATTCGTTTTAACTTTTTGTATTCTTCTCCTCTAAGTTTATAGAGAAGTTTATTTGAATAGGACCTAGAAAATAGAAAATGGTGCTAAATTCTTGGCAACGTCTGTTTCTTAGATGATATTTTGCAGGACACGTGTTTGGTGTTCGCTTTTCAACTGTGAATTCGATTGATAAATGGGAAGCTATACTTGGAAGCGTAACATAGTGCTATTTGTTTACTATGGTTTTCTAATTTCTGCGGAACAGTTTACGGACTACACAATGCACTTGTCATGGCCCTTTGTGTTTGCAATTAATAACACAAGAGAAAAAGAAAACAAACTACTTAACTAATAGGAAGCCACGCTTACTTCTTCTCTTATAATATTTTGATGGATTTAACATTTTATTAGGAAATATTTAGTTGTTATTGAGGTACTTGTGCGATTTTAATGTTTATTTTTTGTTTGTATTCAGGTGTTGAAGGATGGTCTTTCTGCTGTACATGTGCCTTATGCATATGGGTTTGCTATCATATTACTCACTGTTATAGTTAAGGCCGCAACACTTCCCTTGACAAAACAACAGGTAGGTACAAATTATTGCAATTTATAGGGCCAAAGAAAGCATGATAAATTTGCAAATTTACTGCAACCTCTAAATTATGTAAATTACTTATTTTAAACAGTTTTTCCCCATCACACGTAAGTAACTGGAATATTTTTGTTCTGCAAAGCCTGACATACTCCATGAAAACATTTTGAAGAAAATCACAAACTATATATGAATTTGAACTCTCAATAAACATAATTTTTGCTTGACTACTAGAACTGCGGATTCTAATTAAATCTATACAGGTTGAATCTACACTGGCTATGCAAAATCTTCAGCCAAAAATTAAGGCCATTCAAGAAAGATATGCTGGCAATCAGGTGAGGGGTGCTGTTGGTTATTTAAGATCCAATTTGATCTTGAGTAAATATTTGATTTTGTTTTATCATATGAAATTGATCTTTCTAAACTATTCATTTTGTTGGCCTCTTTTAAGGAAAGAATACAACTTGAGACATCAAGGTTATATCGGCAGGCTGGGGTTAACCCATTGGCAGGTACTTTTGCTCTTAATTTCGGTGGCATCTTCTGAACACTCTGTTTTTGAATAATAATATATTGATTCATGTAGCTAATAAACATTGGTTCTGTGTAATGATCATGAAGCTAATAGAACTTGTATGATCATAATAAAACGGCTGTGCTTGTGTATGATCACCAAAAAATATGTTTCTGAAGTAGGTTCTTATGGAAACAGTAATTATTTAATTTTATTTTGTTCATCCATATTGCCCGTGGCCCTTCTTTTCATAATCAGCAAATAGCCATATTATCTTAGTTTGGATTTTGTACCTATTCTATTCAGCTACTGACTAATAGGCTCAACTTCTACTGCAATCCATCAATTTGCATAGGTTGTTTACCTACTTTGGCTACAATTCCAGTCTGGATTGGTCTCTACCAAGCTTTATCAAATGTGGCAAATGAAGTAATTACTAATGCTATAAGCTTTTATTATTTGAGCAGAGATTTTGATGCACAAAGTATTCACCAAAAATCTGCCTTTTTGCTAATTATGGAAAACCTTTAATTTGAAGGGACTGTTAACTGAAGGTTTCTTTTGGATCCCCTCTTTGGCTGGTCCTACTACCATTGCTGCTAGACAAAGTGGAGCTGGAATTTCTTGGCTTTTTCCATTTGTGGTAAGAAATACATCTTTTGTTTTGTAGGTGAAATAATAAGTTGTAGTTGGCCTTTTTCCCCAACTCCCATGAGTTTGGCATTATGATCTTTTAGACAGCAGACTGTTTATTCAGTATTAGAATGGTGAAGTGATAGATGAATTGTTCACTTGTTGAAGTCATGTATCAAGAGAAAATAAATAGCAAACTTTGTAAATTGATTTTATACTTTTATTATCGCTATACAGTATCATAACAAACATCTGTCATTCAGGATGGGCATCCACCTTTGGGTTGGCAAGATACTGCAGCATATCTTGTTTTACCTATTCTTCTTATTGTTTCTCAATATGTTTCAATGGAAATCATGAAACCACCTCAGGTAAACACATCAATTCTCATCCTTTTCATTTTTTGATGTGATCGTAAGGCAGGCCTAACTGACTTCTTTTGGCAGACAGATCCTTCTCAAAAGAATCAACTTCTTATTTTAAAGTTTCTTCCACTCATGATCGGCTACTTCTCACTATCTGTCCCATCAGGATTAACAATTTACTGGTTAGTTTTTTCAAAAACTATACTAATACCATATTTTCTAGTCAATATATCTTATTTTTCATGATCTATGAAGCATTGACTCCGATACGGACACTAAGACACGACACGGACACCGGGACACGGCGAACTTCTAAAATATAGGACACCACACCTTATATATATTAGACATGAATAGAAATTTAAATATGATTCAAATGAGAAATATATAAATTAAAAATTAAGATTTGTTCATTCATCTTCTCAAGATAAAGTTGTTAGACTTTACAATTTTCATATGATATCCTAACCAAAAAATAGTAAGAAGCACTAAGCACTATTTCACAATGCAAGAACTTTGTCTTTTTACAAAAGAAAGTTCCAAAATAAGAAGATGAATCAAATCTATTAAAGACAGTGACCTCCATGATCATCATCATTGAAAAATACACTCTCTAGCTCTGGTTCATCAAGTGATAAATTAGCAACTTCAAGCATTCCACTCTCATCTAGTGATTCAAATGCATCTCCTGCTATGTCCCACATTTTTGTTTCCTCTTGGTTATATTGTGGAGAATTCCTTGAAAGAAGACGGAGGTTGCTATGAACAAATACTAGATCTTCTGCCCTATATGATGTCATCTTGTTTCTTTTCATAGAATGAATGAAAGAGTAAGTGCTCCAATTTCTTTCACAACATGAAGAAGAGCATGGTTGCCCAAGTAGTTTAAGAGTAATTTTTTGAAGTATTGGAGCATGAGCACCATAAACAAGCCACCAAGATTTTGCATCCATCTTACCCCTATCACTTAATGAATCAATGTCATCAAAACCTTCTCTTCCATCTGAAAAATTTGTAAACTCTAAATTTACTTGTTTCCTCGGATCCACATCAACAAAATATCGTTTAAAACATTTCACCCTTTCACGAGTAAGTTCCATATCTTGATGTGGAGGAACTCTATTAGAATCTTCACTTAGTCATTCATGACTATAATATCTACAATATAAATAAAAATCATGATTACAATAACCTATAAAAATGTAACTAAAATCTTATTTAGGAATATAAAATATTAGCTTGGATTTAAAGAATGTGCTGAACAATGGAGAGGTGTGCTACTCTTTATCCAATGTTCAATTAATATGGAGTGCACAATATTATAAAAGCTTGATTCTTCACTTTCCGCCTTTCTTTCATATCGATAAATGGCCTTTCTCACATTTTCAATCATTGAGTCCCACATTTCATATACTAAATGGAGAGATGAAGCTTCTGTATCCGTTTTTCTTAAAACATCATAAATGGGACTAGTGAAAGAAAGTATATAATCAACCTTATCCCACCAAACATCATCCAATAATGTATCTTTCACAAATTTAGCTTTTCCAACATCATCTTCCTTGTAAGAAGACCATTCATCACTAATAACCATCTCTTGGAGTCCTTTTTTCAATTGTTTAAATCTCTTAAGCATGACTATAGTAGAAGCAAACCTTGTTGGAGCAACGGAAAGCAACTTTAGTGTGTTGAATGAGTTGAAAATAGATAATCTCATTGAGTGACCCATGATAAAAAATTTTACGAACATAGCATCGTCTCTTATATTTGTGATCCAAGAACATTCTTGATAAACAATATTGTTTTTTTCTGTGTTTTTTGCTACACATTTTTCAAAACATAATTTAGAGTGTGCACAACGCAAGGGGTCCAATAAATACAAGGAAAATCAACTTCAATCATTAAACCTGCGGCCTTACATACAGGTGCATTATTAGTCACAATTTGCACCACATTTGAAGGTCCAACTTCCATAATTACATCTCTCATTTGTTTGGCTATAAAATATTTGTCTTTAATCTCATCAGAGCATTCTATAGCCTTCAAAAACACAGGTTCACTCTCTGTAACAGCCATGAAATTAATGAGAGGTCTTTTTTGGGGATCACTCTACCCATCACTAACAATGCTAACACCTTTTTGACTCCATGTATTTTTTATTGGCTCCAAAAGCTTCTCTACATGTCTTCTTTCATTAGCAAACAAACTTGTTCTCAACTTATTATAACCTGGTGGTTGATATCCACTTACATAATTATTGGCAGCAAAAGAAAAAGCTCTCCTATAATAAGGATTTCTTGCTAAATGAAATGACAATCCTGATGAGTAAAACATCCTAGCAATTTCATAGTCTAATGTCTCTCTAGCTTGCATATTGAAAGCTTTATCTAGTGATCCGGATGTTTTTCTTTTTTTGAGATCAACACCATCCATAGATGATTCATTAGAAACCGGAGGCAAAGGGACAAATTTTGCCTTAGACCTTTCTATCTTCAATGTAGCTTCATTGTCTAGCTTTGTTAGTTCACCAAGCTTCAAGGGTGTTATTTTTTGACAACCTCTAACTCCCTTTCCCGTAATCTTCAACAAATGTGCTCTCACTCTAGTATAAGATCCATTGAAAGTAAGGTTACAAATATTGCATTTTACTTCATAATTTTCACCACCTACACCAACACTTTTTATCTTTGTAACATAATTCCATAGGGGTTTGATATCATCATCTTGTAAAGGTTGACTAGAATTACTCATTTCTACAAAAATGAAACCAATAACATATGATTTTTCTATGTTCATAGTTCCATAACTATCGCATTCTAATAAAAAAATGAAACATTATAAAGGAAAACAGAGCAAAACAAAGAGCAAAACAAAGACCTAAACAGTAGACAGCAAAACAGAGAATGACGCAGTGGAATACTTGAATAACAATGAAAACCTGAATGGCAGAGAGCAAACCAGGGCAAAATGAACAGCAAAACTTTAATTAACAGCCGAAGAAAACAAAGCAATCCCCACTTTTGAATTTTGGATCGCTTCCAACGGTCACTCTTTACCCCTTTCTCTTTCACAAACCCTATATTCCTCCTTCTCTGTAAATGGATTGGAATCTCATCTTCTGGCTCTTCATTTGTTTCCCTGCCAACATTGTCCTTCTCGCCTCCACTTTTTACCAGGTTTTGATCCTATCTGATTTGGAATATGATTACGTCAACCCGTTTGACGCTTCGTCTAAGATTAACTACTTCGTTATTCCGGAGTTCATTGGGCAGGGAGCATTGTGTGCTCTGTGCTCTCGGATTAACTACATAGTAGCACGCAGCAGAAGAAAGTAAATGGAAGCAAAAAAGGAAAGCTTTTTTGGATGAAAGGAAAGCTTTGGAGCAGAAATGGAAACGTGCAGAGGAAGGAAGGAAGGAAAGCGGGAGAAAAAAGAACGTAAATGGAGAAAATTCAATTTTTTTTTTTGATAAAAACTATATCCGAGTCGGAGCCATGTCGACACCGTGTCGGATCTGGGTTACGTCGTGTCCACCATGACTCGAAGCCCCACAACGCGTTTTTGGTATAGGGGACACTACAAAAAGTAGTCGGACACGCATCCTCAACATGGCGGTGTCGGTGTCGGACTCGCGTGACACTTCAACACGGATGAGGGGAGTTGTGTCAGTGCTTCCCAATTCATGATTTTACCATAACTTAAACATTCCTTGCTTTATTATGGGTTGCAACTATATTTATCTCCTATACTATCTATGTAACTCCAATTTGTTAAGAAAACCTAAGTAATTGTATTTATACAACTCTTTATTTCAGAAACAATTTCCCTGATATGCCTGCTTAATGCATGCAACAAAAACATACAGCGAACAAATATATGAGAGCTTAAATTCTTCTTTCTGGTGGAAATAGTAGTATGTTGATCAAGTGAATGCTTTCTCATGATTACAATTTTAGATTTAGGAGATGGTTTTGACAACTTTGATTGTATGCTAACGTGAATAAAAGAAAATTTCACTGCTGATTGGTTTTCTGTTTCTTTTACTAGGTTTATAAACAATGTCCTGAGCACAGCTCAACAAGTATGGTTGCGCAAATTGGGAGGTGCAAAGCCTGTTGTGAATGAAAATGCCAGTGGGATTATTACTGCAGGACGTGCTAAAAGATCAGATTCGCTGCCAGCAAGAGGCGGTGAAAGGTTAGTGTTTTCTGGTAGAAGATGCATAATTTCAACTCTTTTTGGATAACAAATTGGTGATGTACAGGTTTAAGCAGTTAAAAGAAGAGGAAAAGAAGAAGAAGTTAAGCAAGGCACTGCCAATGGAAGATGTTCAGCCACTGGCTTCTGTTTCTGCTTCTGATGATGGTTCAGATGCAGAAAGTGACAACAAGGTATTTTCAGTTGGGCAGTTTCTTGGTTAGAAAATTTATGTGATACAGCTGTCTGTTTTAGTGAAAAGAAGAATTAAAAAAAGAAGAAAAATCTCCATATTAACATGGTTTTATATTGCACGGGAATCTTTATAAATAAAATCTTATTATGCAAAGAACAATGTCTAATTATCCTTAATTTCCAATCTTTTTTCAAGATGAAACATGTTAATTTTTCAGCATATGTGTAAAAGCAATTGTGTCCAGCCATAGATTGAAGTTTGAAAATTTCTTTACCGATTACAATTTTGTGTTGCACATTGTTTAGCCTTTTCACTTAACTGATTCTATTGTATAAATAACGTGACCGTGATGTTACTGAAGAAAGTTAAGTTAGTCATTCGATGGTCCTTCTACCCAACTTTATAGCATGAGAAGAAATGTAGCTAAGGTTGTTGGACTAATTTGAAACCGGCAAGGGTCAAATGAAGACACAGTTGGAGGAGGCATTTGGGGGGGGGGGGTTAACAAGTTGGATGGTTTGGGTGTGAATGGGGTGGAATCTACCCATGGATGGGGATGAGTAGAGAGACGAGGGAAAAAGGCAAGAATGAAAGCGGGGGAAAAGGATTCGAGTAAATGCTGGAAAGGTTCAGAGTGGGTATAAGGTCTGTTAACATGGTCCTCTAGGCCATCTCTGGTATCATTTATAGGATTTTCTAATTTTACCTTTCTAGTTGTAGTTCTATTTTCAGAGAATAAACCCCTGAACCGTCAACTCTTTAGCACTACATACTGTTGGTGAGTCTCAAGTGTGGATTAGAATGTAGAAGTTGAACGGTATATGTATCAAAACCTCAGATATACCTGATGGCTTGAGCTTATGCGTTGGACATAGTGTTTCAACTGCATATATGGTTCCCAGGATCCTCAGCTCCCCTCACTAACCCAACACCATATCCCTCACGAAAGCCTTGCTACCATAACACAATGTCAGTGGAGATTAAATCATTCATGAACTCAAATCAAATATTTCAACTGCTGAAAACCAATTGCGTGGAAAGATATGTCTGTCTTTAAAAAGAGAAGCCCGGCCTTTTTAACACATAATTCCTATATTTGAGATTGAAAGGAGGTGTCTTGAAGTCTTGTTTTAGTTTCAACAAAGTGGTAGGAAACTAGAGCAGAACGACCTAAAAGCACTGTTCTCTTTTTAATTTCTCCCCTGCTCTCCTAAAACCAACTGATCATACCCCTCCCTGATTTCGGCCCCAAACTGATACGTGGGCTTGAGATTATACAGCTATCCTTATTTTATTTTACTTTTTTGAGAAGAAAATTACTATGACTTTGTTGTATTTTGGGACAAGAATGACTTTTGTCCCTTAGTTTATTTTTCAACTTATTTTTTTGTCCTTTATTTTTAAATTAATAAATCCAATCTTTCAACTTTTGAAAATGTGATTTTAGTTATTTTTTTACACTTAAATTTAATATTTAGCGGTTTTTTTTAGCTCACAAAAATTATTGTCAGGAAATTCATTAAATATGTGATTGTAATAATTTTTATATTTAAATTTAATATTGAGTAACAATTTTTTTATCGTCATAAATTTATAAAATGATTAAATTTACATTTTTATTAAGTTTGAAAACATATTAATCAATTTTTAAAGTTCAAAGATAAAAACTATATTTCAAGAAAATTACAAGACAGAAAACAAAAACATATTGAAATATTGTATTTTGTTGTTTTAAGATTGTTTGCATTGTTCATTCTTAGATAAAATTCCCAATGCTACGTTACCATGTTGCAGGAAGAGGAAGTTGCAGAAGAAGCCTATGCTTCTAAAATTGGTGAAGAGGTTCAAATTAATTCTAGGGAAAGAAGAAGCAAGCGTTCGAAGCGGAAGCGTGCAGTATAAAGGACAGCTGCATACTGTTGTTTGTAGTAATAGTGAGTTTTGTATATCTCAAGAGATTATACCATTTTTGGGTTGGCAATTGATTAGATATACGTAATTTATTCCATCAAAATATCTTTTGTCTCTTGTGTTAAATTTCTTTCAGCCAAGATCCCCCACCCGGAAAACTAGAGATCATAAAAACTTGCATTACAGACATCGTAGGCTGCTGACTGTTTACAGCCCAGTAGTCCTGTATATGGAAAAGATGATCGAAAACTGAATTCACTGTTAATAGTCGTCCTTAATTTTAAAGCTCACTTGATTGTTATAAAACAATATGAAAAGGAATATACAAACCGGTAGAGCAAAAGAGTTTTCGAAATTAGAGCTGAGCTATTAAATCAGGGAAGATACTTTGATTAAGGCCTTGTGCGTGTTTTACACTTCCCTGTTTGTCAACATTTACTGCTTAAGTCAAAAAGTGTTCAACAAATTTAACTCAAAGCTGGTTAGTTAATAGATTGAAAATTGCTTCCCTTTATGAGGTCAATGCATTAGCATACAAAGTACAATATTCAAATAAAATACCATTTCGTACATACACAATGCCCCCAAAAGTAGAATTGCTAGTCTACACCAATCCAATGATCTCAAGGAGCTATTGATGTCTCAACTGAGCGCTGGTGGCGAATCCGTGTTTCCAACCTCTATGGTTTAGATGGCGGGCGTTGATTCCCTATTGGGTTAGGCCCAGATGGGCTTTTACGCTTCTTCACATTAACCTGGGATTTTGGTGGTTCAATTCAGAATTGTCATGCAAATCAAGTAATATGCTTAATTAATATATAATACTCATGTATTTATTTACTAACCCATGAAGGAATGGCATTCCCAGTTTGCGGCTTTGGGATAGCCTGTAGGGTTCTGAGCTTGAAATGAACTGAGTGCAGAAATATAGAATGCCGTGAGACACACTTGGTGGCAATTACCATTGCAGCGTCATTACTAAACTAATCAGTTTGTGGTTTACAATCATGCTAACAATCGAACATACAGAAGAAAATAGTTTCAGAGGTATGTGCAGAAGAACGTGCAAATGCAATACCTGACTGCATGGCCTGAACACCAGCAGCGACATGATTGAGTGCAGAAGCTGGGAGCAGAAGCCATGCAAAGAGAAAAAGGACGAAAATTTGTCTTCTCATCTGTGGCATACTTCTAATGAATGGGAGTGTTGCAGTCTTAATGGAGTATGTCACGAGCATTTTGCTGTTTTTATATGCTATATTTTTTGGTATTATATAATCATGACGAAGCTTGAATTTTTATATGAGAATGTTTGTAAAAAGATGCCCGGGAATCCTATGCCGTTACACTGTCTATAAAAGATCGAGAATCTGTTTTTATCCTCATTATGAATTGACTTCTTATCCGTTATCATTTCTCTGTTATCATTGCTTCCATGATAATTTTCTTCCAAGTACTAGCTATTATTTTTCTCTTGAGTGCTTCACCGTTATGTCGGCATCCTTTCTAATAATTAAAATTTCAGCAATATTTTAGCGTATCAAATCTATGTACCCGAAACCCCTTTTTATAGAATTTGAGTTGGACATCTCCTTTAATACAAAAATACTTGATGGTTGGATTATTTCTTTTACGGTTAAAAAATACCTCAAAATTTAGTCTGTATCAAAATTATCTCTAAATATATGTGAATATTTAGTTAAATGCTAACCTATCAATATTCTTGCAAATAAGTTTACATGTCGAAGTTTGGAATTTACAATTTCAGAGTGGATCAATTTTATACGTCTAATGTGACTAAGGTGTTTTATATTAGATAAAGATGAATAAAAATCTACAAATTTCTTAAAGGTTTTGAATACATTTTTTATTTGTTTTTGTTCTTTCTATTCCCAAGAAGCGAAAGTGGTATTATTTCATCTCACGCATTGTTTGCTTCAATGATATTCCTGTTCACAAAGAAATGTAAGCGCATTTGTAAGGATGGACGGTGTTTATTGTTGTGGATTATCGCAGATTGACAAAGAAATTGGTAATGCGATCCACATATTTTATATCACCTTTCAAATGGTGAAGAAATGGCTGGAAAGCCAGCTGTAATACATACAAAGTCTCTCTTACCCTTGGGATATATGAATTAGGAAAACTTTCATTCTACTTCAGAAAAATCATATTTTAAAAAATATATACATTGTTACGTGAAAGAAAAACGATTATGGTATTTAATTAAAATATATAATTGATTATCGTCGTAACATAATCGAATATGTACATCTGTATAAACGATTATGGTATCTAAATAATCGATTGTATGATTTAATCTCTTTCCGATATTCTTATCTAGGTTAAGTGACTCACTTGTTCTTCACTGCAAGATAAAGATTTAGGTAGCTTCTATTTCTTGATTGGTCAGTAAATTAAAGAAGGGATTAGAATGCTTCTTGAAGCGGCATGAACTATTATTTAGAGTCTCTAATGCTGGAACAGGCACCTCTGATTGAATGCAGAATGTGGCTAGTGATTAAACAAGAGTTTAGTGTTTTCTCCCTTGTATTTCTAACAGTACCTGTATTTTTCTTGTGCTAAATTAGATTGACTTTTGCTTATACTGCTTTCTCATTCCGTCTCTACGTTTATGAAAAAGAAGTTGACTATGCGCTATAGCCTGATAGAGAACCTAACTTAAGTGAGACATGATGGAAATTTTTAGTTACAAAGTCAAGTGTTGTTATGATTGCTTGAATTAGAATTAAATCAAATCAATCACCGAACAAAGCAAATGTGCCAGAAATGTTTTATGGCAGCGACCCAAACAAACAACTCTGTGGCCCTTCAAATTAGGACCATGATTTGAAGTTAAACCAATCCACAGTACTGGTTCTGGTTTTTCAATTTCTTAATCCGGTTTTAACTTTTTAAATAAATTTTAAATTAACTGAAGATTTTAGTTTTCAATTAAAGTTAGTATTTTTATCCTTAATTTTCCTCCAATTAACTCCTCTATTTGTCTCAATAAAGTTAATATTGAAAAAAGAATGAAATTATTCTAATAAATTTGTTTTAAAAAGTGATTGAGTTATACTTGTTCTGCCAAAAAAACATGCATTTATTATGGGACGGAGACCGGGGCTCCTCGTATTTTGTGACAAAATGGTTGATTTTTTTTTAAATTTATTAAAATAGATACATTTCTCAAAAATTACATATTTAATAAAAAAATCATGCTTTATTTTATAATATGTTTTTTTTTAGATTTAAGAAGTCATACAACTTCTATTATTATGTTATAATAATAATTAATAATAATATTTTTTATATTATTATTAAAACTAATAATGATTATATTATTTTATTATTAATAACATTAAATAAAAATATTAATAATAAAATAAAATAATTATAATTATTAATATTATTGTATTATTATTATATTAATAATATAGATATTTTTATTATTATTATTTATAAAAATAAAATAATTATTAATAATATAGTATTATTATTATTATTATTATTATTATTATTTATGAGATAATAATATCATTATCTTATTATTATTAATAGAATAATATTTATAACTATTATTAATTATAATTAAAATAATATGAATAAAATAAACTTATATGTTGATGTTCCTCCTTAGGTGAATTTTGAATTCTTAGAAATAGATTTGACTCCCAGAGTTTTGGTTTATTTTGTAAATTTATGGCATAAATTTTGGTTTGATTCCTCAAATATTTTGTATTTTTTTTCTTTATTTTTTATTTATTTGTATAAAAAAACTTAATATTCGATAGACTAACCTTAGTGAGTATCTATTGTGTGAAACTGTCACATATAAATTTATTAAAAATATAAAAATATATAAATAAAATAGATAATGATTAAATATATTAATATTATTATTTTAAATTATAGTAATATTATTTTTATAATATAATTACAATAATTATTAAAATATAATAATTAAATTAATATAAATTTATTATTTTATATAATAATAATAATAATAATTTATTATTATATTTTTTAATTATTATCACAATTAAAAATAAAAAAATAAAAAATAATAATATTAATATAATAATATTAATAATTATAATTATTTTATTTTATTTTTATATAAAAATATTATTATTAATTTTAATAATAATATAATTATTATTATAATATAATAATTTATTATTATATATTTTAATTATTATTACAATTAAAAATAAAAAAATAAAAAATAATATTATTAATATAATAATATTAATAATTATAATTATTTTATTTTTATATAAAAAATATTATTATTAATTTTAATAATAATATAATAATATAAATCTAGATAGTTATATTATATAGTATGACTTCTTTCGAAATCTAAACAAAATTAAAATTGTAAGCACAATTTTTTATACTGAAATATCCAAATTCCTAATTAAAAAAAATATTTTGATAAATATAAAAAAATATATTACACCGTTTCTGTAGAATCTCTGCTGTCAAAGCCTTTGTTTAGATGGTTTTACTGTAGAAGATGAATTGGAATAGGATGACCAAGATTAATTTACAATTTTATTTTTCTTTAAACACAACTTTATTTAATAATATAATATTAAGTTTTAGTTATTTTTTATTGGTGTATAATTACTATATTAATACAAAGAATTATCTAATAGACATGTTGTCACTTCTACTTGTTTTGTCCCTTTTTTTTTCTACTAGGAAAAGGACGAGGCAAAACATGATGAACTTATTATTGTTTTTCACAAATTTTTATAAGTTTAAAAAAAGTCATTTTCACTGCCTTGTATTTTTTTATTGTTGTGTTGCTTTTTTCCATCAAAGTAACATCAAAATTCTTGTTTTTTATTATATTCACTTGCTTGAATAATGGAGGCAAATACAAAGATGATTTCTTTAAATGGTACAAATTATCATTTGTGGAAATATTTATTGATTCTAAAGAAATTGTATCTTCTTATCTTTTACACAGAAGCTAGATTAATGTCTGATGAAGAATGAGATTTTGAGCACCAAGAGGTATGTGATTTTATTCGATAATATGTAGAATACAATGTTTATAATTACATTGCTAAAGAGACACATGCTAGAAGTTTGTGGGAGAAGATTGAGTCCTTGTATGTTTCTAAGTCAGACAATACTAAATTGTATTTGTTGAATTACTTGATGAATTTGAGGTACATGGAGAGTTCTTCCATTTCAACTTATTTAAATGAGTTTGATGGACTCCTAAATCAACTATCAGAAATGACTATCAATTTTGATGATGAAGTTTTGAGATTATGGCTACTAGATACTCTACCAGTGTCTTGGGAGATATTTTAAGTTTCAATTACAAACTTAGTCCCTAATGGTATTGTTTCTTTCCAAATGGCAAAGAGTGATGCTCTTAACGAAGAGATGAGAAGGAAGACATATGGTTCTTCTTATCAGTCTGAGGTGTTTGACATTGAAAATAGAGGAAAAAGTAAAAAAAAGGAATTGAAGGGTGGTAGAGATAAGAGCAGGAGTAAGTCTAAGACAAGATAAAAAAAATGTGGAGTGTTATTATTATAATAAACTTGAACACGTCAAAACAAATTGTTTTAAGTGAAAAAAAGAAAACAAATGCAAGAAGGGCAAGTAAAAAGAGAATTATCATGATGATGATCATGCTACTACTACAAGTGATGATTTTTTTTTCTTGACTTTGATTAATATGTTAATCTTGTATCTGATAAGAGCATGTAAATTATTGATAATGGTGTTGCACTAAGGAAAGAATTATTCACATCTTACACTTCTGGTCATTTTGGAGTGTTGAAGATAGGTAATCATGATGTATCAAAGATTGTTTGTGTTGGTAATGTTTTCTTACAAACACAACATGAGAGTGCAATTATTACTTAGAGGAGAAAATATGTTTTAGATGTGCCTTTTAATCTAATATATGTACATTTGCTAGATGACTATAGTCATGACAATCAATTTGGTTCCAGTAAATGGAAGCTCACTAAAGGTAACTTGGTCATGACTAGAGGGAAAAAATTATAAATTATATTGGACTAAATCTTAGTTTGCTAAGGATTGTGTGAATGCTATGTATATGGAGGCATCTTTGTGGCACCGAAGGCTTACTCATATAAGTGAAAAAAAGTCTTAATTGCTTAGCTAAAAATTATATGTGTTTGGGATT